GATCGTGAGCTCAGCCGCCACTTTCGTCATGCTTGGCCTCCCAGGTCCCCAGACCTCAGTTCGTGCGATTATTGGCTTTAGGGTTACCTGAAGTCGCAAGTGTATCGTGATCGACCGACATCTCTAGGGATGCTGAAAGACAACATCCGACGCCAATGCCTCACCATAACTCCGACATCCTTTACAGTGCTGTTCACAACATTATTCCTCGACTACAGCTATTGTTGAAGAATGATGGTGAACATATTGAGCATTTCCTGTAAAGAACATCATCTTTGCTTTGTCTTAATTTGTTATGCTAATTATTGCTTTTCTGATCAGATTATTGCTTTTCTAATAAAACCCCATGTTATTCTAAGTATGTGTGTCAATTTTTACCTCTCTATCTACATTATTCCGTGATTTATTAAGTTTTCAAATTTATACTGACTTTTTGATCACCCGGTATTTATGACTGAGCATTGCATAAGAGAAGCATCACTGTTTGTTAAAATTTTAAGCGAGTTGGCTTCAAGACTAAAATTTTTGCTACGCTGTATTCGGTTCAGTTACGTCTTTTAATTGAAGAGCAAATCTGGAAGGCCTGTTAAAGCATCTCTGTTCATTTATTTGCTAAAGGCTCTTAAATATATAGTTGGGGGAGATGTTCTCTTTTACCAGTAAATGCCAAAAATAAAAGCAGAAAACGAAACTTTATAGAATTTGTCTGATGGAAATTTTAAAATCGTAAACATCATTTCCAAGTTTTTACGTTAAGCGGATTTCATCGCTGTTGACCTTCTCGAGGCAAGTATTTCTCAGTTGTGATGTTAAGGGGGCTCATACACATTAGACCCCTTAACACCCTTCGAATATGTGACTGTTGCAAGAATTCGGATATTTTATTTATTTTAAAATCAATTACTTCCAACTTTTCACAGCTGGCTACATATATAGCTGCTTTCTCAAATAGTGATCAAAAGTTTGTTTGCCCCAAATATTTTTGTATTTAATCCGCTTTGTGACAAAAATTTCGTCACGTTTCCAACTGCGCGCACGATATTTAAAAAAACGGTTAATGGTACATACTTGAAATTTTATGGAATTCTTTATATGAGCCCTATATTTTAATTGAATCTAAAATATGATGAATATTTTAATATTAAAAAATTTATGGACAAAAACATTACAGATTTTTTTAATCGATACATTTTAACGCGACTCCAAACAAATAAAATTGAAATGCATTCTTAGAATTTTTTGGTTCCACAGTAGTTTCCAAATGTTTTAAGCTGTATATTAAATGTAGAATTAAATATGCACAGAATGTTTAAACTGTGCGCACAAGGTGGAAACATGACAAAAATTGTTGTTACAAAGCGGATTAAATTATAAAAATTTTTGTGGCAACGCAAACTTTCTGATGACTATTTCAGAAAGCAGCTATATTATGTTGTAGTCAGCTGTAAAAAGTTGGAAGTAACTGCTTTTAAAATAAATTAGTTACTCCAATTCTTGCAACAGTCACCTATTCGAAGATCTTATGGGTTTTAAGGTGTACGAGTCTCCTTAAATGAGCTGGAAATTACAGAATTAGTTTCTGGTCGTTTTTTTAGCAAGCATTAAATTAATATGCCGTAAGACGTTATAATGCTATAAAATCGAACACAATGGATTCATGTTTTGGTGCACGTTTGAAAAAATATCTAAAAATTACAATTTCTCAGTCAGCGCTTTAAATTACTTTAAACAGACGTTCAGTACATTGCATCCAGATTGTAGAGTTCCTCTTCATAGCATGCAATAAAACGATAGAAAACTTAACTCGAAAAATGAAGAGAATTTACACATTCGGTGAACATTTTTAATGGTGAAGAAAAGGAACTAAAGTACATCTGTTCTTTTGGATAATAAATGCCATCATTTTTCATTTCTTACATCATCTTTCATGATGAAATTCGCAATTATCTTCCACTTTTATTGCCTAATTCTGTTTCATTCTGTCTGTTTGAGTCATTACCTATAATTTACACAATGAATTTCTTGCAATCATTATGGGTTGCAAAAACTCTCACAATCAACTATTATGTTTGCAAAATTATGGTATTGTGTGAAATGATGTAATCGTTCAAATAATTTTTAATTTCTTCGTGGGATTTTCTCTCAAGTAACTTTTATAAGTTCAAATATTTCGTTATGATACTTCATCTGTATAACGGATGCTGTAAGACAAATTACATGCATCTAGAAATCATTCTAGTTACCACAGGTTGTAGAGTCATTAGGTTAATTGGAAGCAGAAAAGATGAAAAATATGCAACCACCTCTGCCGGTAATCGAACCACGGACCTCTGGATTACCGGCCCAGCGTGCTACTGTTACACCACGAAGGCACGCTAGTGAAATGGGAGAAATACCTTATAAGTTTTCAGTTTCTTAAAAAGTCTGATTTGGACACCCCATGATTTCCTTGTGTGGCCGATTAAAATCTACGCATTTTTTGGCAGCACTTCATTTAAACTTATTTCCTCGAATTATTCTAACTTCATTGACCGATATCTGAATAATATCAAAAATTACAAATTTTGTAATTAAATATTCCGGTCTGCTTTTGTCGTATGGAAGTCAAACTTCATCTAATTTTATTATTTCATAACGAGTATAAAATTTTCCATATAGAAACCGGAAGACCGCATTAAAAGTTAGATTTCGTTAGTCTAAAATTAAATCATGGTGCAAGTGCTGCAACCGCGAAAAATTTCGAGTGCAATATTTCAACAGAAATATTGCTGAAGTGGATTCGAGAGCGGTTAAAATGGATATTTTTGTTGAAATAGGATGCCCGAAATTTTTCGCCATCAGAAGACTTCATTTCCTTCGAACAAGAAAGTAAAAACAGTCCTTTATCCTGTCCGTATGTACAGACATCGTCCACAAACATCGTCCACATAGGTTTCGGAAACAACCAAAATGGATACTTCGGTTGAAATATGATATACTCGAATTTTTTCTCGATTACAAAACTGCCTTTACATTGTACAAGGAAGTATAAAGTAAAAAAAAATTGAAAGTAAAAATTAAGTACATAAATAAAATGTATAAATGTTACGGTGAAACACCGAAATCTGGAGAATGTCGACTTTCACCGGTGAATGTCAACATTCCCATAGTCTCTTGGTGTATGTCCGAAATATTTTCCAAATACTCTTATTTCTGACTTAACCGGTAAATGTCGACATTCACCATGTACTAATGGTGAATGTTGAGCATATAAGAATATTAGATTTCCTTCTCCGTAATTCATTCGCGAAAAAACGCACTTGAGACTCAGAATAAGAACTTAAGAATATAAGAACTTAAAACACACAATACATTGTAAAGGTGTTATGTACATTGTAATACATGGTAAAGTATTGTACAATACATTGTAAAGGTGTAATACATTGTACAATACATTGTAAAGGTGTAATACATTGTACAATACATTGTAAAGGTGTGTGTGTTGTGTTTACAACTGCATTTATTTGTGGAACACTTCCTTTTGGAATGGCAGCGTGTACATAAACTTCTCTCTTTTCGACCTACACCAGAGCATATCTGTGATTGTCGACATACACCGGTGAGGGTCCGAATGTACAAGAATATAAAGAAATATTCGACCTTTCCCCGACGTATTTGGTGAATGTTGACATTCTCCGGTGAAAGTCGACATTCTCCAATTTCGGTCTTTCACGGTAACATAAATATGATGTAAATAAAATGGTGAATTTACAAATATCACTTCATTATGATAACTCTATGCAAGAGTCAGAAAATCCTTCTGTCCTCGTATTTCAGGATATTGATCGGCTGTTAAAGATTTAAGGTTATAAAGATGCACTCCCTGCCAAAGACGTTCTTCTATTTTTGCAAATGATTCGTGACGTTAGATATAATCTCTGAGATCCACATTTCTGACAATGAATGAAACATTTAAAGGAATGAGTATGCATAGTAAATTTTGAGGTTAGATTTTAAAAAAGAGTTATTCTGGAAATCGATTTTTTTCCCCTCGTACGGCCATTTTGCGCAAGCCAGAAAATAGTTTCTTAATCACTTTAGAATTCGAATTTTTGTTGTAGGAGCATAGATGAAACAGACTAAATACATTGTTATAATATTTGAATGAAATCTTCATATTTTTTACTTTTGAAAAATAACTTTGTTACTATTCGGTTTCGAGAACCGTTAAAAATCGCCAAACTATTGTTGATGTCAATGCTGCCCAAAATAATTGCGGAAACCCTAATTATTGCGGCAAGAAAGGAAGTATAATAGTAAATAACTATTTAAGATTGATGTTTTAATTTAGATGAAAGGTTCATTTCTTATAATACTTTTTTATTATTATAATTTATATGAAAAAGGCTAAACGTGACTGAATGGAAGCATAAGAGAGTAAATAACTATTTCAGATCATTATTAAATTTATATAAAAATTGCTAACGTAATGAATAGATGCCTGCATCGCTATTTCGCTACCGACTTATCGCTAAAGCATTTAATTTCATCTCGTTGGTTGTTCAAACTAATTTTCTATAATGATGCCTTTTCTTTGAAAATTTCTCGGTAAAGTGCAGAATCGCTCACTTATTTGTTTGTCGCTTTTTACAAGGGTAAAACAATTGGATTTTTGTCAGCAGTGGGTGATTCTGCACTTTACCCAAAATTCTACTGCCGAGTTTTCGTCATGGGCAATTCCCAAATTGTTAAATCCATAGGATATCAAAAAAAAAAAAAAAAAAGATTTAAAATCAAAAAAGGATTTAAAAATTAAACTAGTATTTCAATGGCGTCTTAAGAAATATAGAACTACATAAATTTACGCAATTTGAAATCAGCGCGTTTGTTAGATTTGGCGCTTTTGCGCGTACATTTTCGCTACAATTTGTTTTTACGGCCCTCGAAACCGAATAGTACCAGAACTTTGATATAAAAAAATAACAATTCTTAATAATGGCTTTTTTACTTTTTTTTTACAGAGATATGTCAAAGATTCAAGATGGTTTGGGTGACAAAGTTCCGATCCTTATCAGCTTTATTTCTTCAACGATTCTTTCTTTCGCTAGCGCATTTTATTATGGATGGAAACTGTCATTAGTCATTCTGAGTGTTTCGCCTTTACTTATAGCTGGCATGGCCCTTTTGTCAAAAGTAAGTCAAACATGAATCTGATCTCAAAATGGTCAATGGTTTTTGTATGAGTTTTCAGCACTTTGGGTTTTGTATGCTCGACTTCACGGCGAAGATGACAGTTCTTTGGTAACTTGGCAGTTCTCCAGCTATCAGTTACATATATATTATGATTATAATAATTACATAAACATCAGTAATTATAATAATTACAGAATTCATTATTATAATCATTGCAATAATTACACAAAAGTAATGTATGAGGTTCACGATGTTAATTGCGCAAAAGCTTGTTTTGAATTAACTCCTCTCATTGTTTTTGTCCAAAAAACTCATTTTTGCGATTAATTTTTCTTATTAAATATTGCAGTAAAAACCATTGTTATGTTGAGAATTATTTTTACGTAATTCACAATTTTAAGCTTACGTAGGTTAAGAAAATGCAAACAGGTAGTCTTTTTCGAGGTGAATTTTGAATGACAGTTAAGTCGTGATCCCAAAAAATACTACAGAAATGCCTTTTTATTTTAAATAAGCAGATGAAAAAACTGTTTGTAAAAAACAGTTCGACCGTTCATTTTAATTTAGATTTTGTAGCATAAAAAATTACTCATGTAATTGCCTTGAGTTCTACCCGGAAGACCGTATTTTTGTCCAAATGTTTATTTTCCCGTGAAGGTCCAAATGTTATTCCCGTGAAGTTCCAATGTTATTCTGTCCAAATGTTTATTTTCCCTTGAAGGTGTTCTTTCAAACAATTGCAGAAAACAAAGACCAAAATTTGTCTCTGCGTTGAATCCGCTTCCGCACAGAAAGATTAGTTTTACTCAGCGAAATGGTGATGATTCCATCACCATTTCGCTGAGTTCAACAAGCTAGCACAATCAACATAACCAAGGGAAATTATGGTATATATTTTCACCATTCACCTGTATGAATGATATAATGACTCCTAAATCTAGCAGGGAAAAACTGCAAATTAATAGTGTTAGAGAAAATCGTACAAGCTTTTTAATGCTTTTAAATCGTGCAAGCTCACCCTATCGCCAAAGAGTCGTCATCAAAGTTCTCTTTACGTTGATGACAGGATCTCATACTTATCATCAACTAGCAGCTTCGCTGCCAGTCCTCGTCTAGCTTTTAAATGTACACTGCTCAAAAAAGAAAAATGGGACAGTCCTATATCTCCCGATCTACTGGGCCGATTGGCAAAATTCAAATTGCGTTCTTCAGTCCGAAGCGCGACTTAGGATTATTATTAGATTTTATATAGCATATTCTAAATAGGTATTTGACACAAATCGGACTTTTTCTGAAAACAACAATTTTTTACATATTTCATCTACGACTCAAATTACGCTAATTGGACGAATTTACGGAGAAATTACCAATTTATGTTGCACTTTGTCAGTTTTGCGCAAGAATACTTCACTTGGCGAACTCTTATATATGGCAACCTAGTTTCCTTTCCCTTGAGAGGAAAAACAGTCACCATCGTTCCCTTTTCCAAATAATTCTTTATATTATATTTTTAATTAAACTTATTATTTTAAGTAATTTTTTCTTTTCAATTTCATTTATTGTTTAATTTGCACTTTTTTTCGAAAACGTCTAAAATTTCTATTACCTCGAACTGCGAAAAAGGTGCAGGCAAGTTTTCGTTTTTTTTCAAATAGTTTTCATATATTTTTCGTCATTTATTTTCAGGTAATTTAATTTTATACACTATTTTAACATTGTCTCTTCAGATAATTCTTTCTTCCTTCGCCAGCATAATATTTTATTTCACATTGTTGGAATGCGGTTCTGAACCCTACACACTGCTACTTATTAAAAAGACAAAAGACGTAAAGCACATTTTACACGCCTCAATGGTCCGTTCAGAAAAGATTAAAAATAAAGAGAGGTAAACCGGCGTTTAACTTAGAGATTGAATACAGCTTAACAGTTTATCATTGTGTCCCATTGCTTTACAAATTTATCCTACATGTGTTCTTAACAGTTATCATATTTAGTCAAATATTTTATTTTTGAAATCGCAGAAGCAAATTCATAGATTGAAAAGTTTAAATTAAAAAATACCAAATACTAAATTTACGAAAAAAATTTTTTCTTCTCTTTTTCTTTAGCATTCTGAAAGTATATTAAAAAGTATCCACTTTTCGAAACATTTTGGTATTCTGACAACATTTAATAAAAGTTATCGCTCCTTTCATAAGGCCCTACACGGCCGAGCGGTAAAGACGCTGATCACTGGTAGTTCGGTCCGAGGTTCGAATCCCGCGAACGGGCTGTTTGAATGGTGTTTTCGTGGTTTTCCCGATGTGTAACGTGTATACGAGCCAGTTTTCCTTAGAAAGTCCTCCCGAAGGCATCCCTCCCTTTAGCAGATAGCCCTCGTGTGCTTTGCCATAATTAAATAATCCAATCCAATCCTTAATTAAATATAATTGATTTGTAACTTCTACTAGAACTGACGTTAAGAATGAAGTGCAAATAAATAATATCGTGTGTGCAATCTTGATTAATATAAAATTAAAATATTTTGCGCAGAAAAATATTGAATTCAGACAAAGTTTTTTGAATAGTTGCAATTACTTATAAGAAGGATTTATTAATAACCGTAATAATTACTATTATATTACTGATGATTAGGAATCAGTTCTTGACAATTACATTCTAAATTAGAATTTAAGAGTTATTAGAATTTTAAATTAGAATAATGAAAATACGCTACGCACCATATACATTTTAGGATAAAAATGAGTTGATTTTTTGTTTTAAAACTTCTTGAATTCATTTAATAAACATCGTATCCTCGTTGTTAATTGAATTCAGAATGTTGGGTGTCGTTATATAATTATTCTTACTTGTCCACGGAATCTGCTTGATTTATCCAGCCGATTAAGTAGCTGCAGATCTTTTCTACATAATCGATTGAACTTCCATTAATTCAATCTCTAGAGGATTGTATGTTTATATCATAATTTGACTTTATAAAAATGATTATTCTAAATTTTATGTTTCTATAAAAATAATACTGTGCTTTAAAAATATGGATGAGAGTATCAGCCGCTCTCTTCAGCCACTTCATAAGCATCATAACTTGTTTAGAAATAAATTATGCATTTAATGTCATAAAATATTCTCAAAAATTCAAATAAACATCAAACGGAAGTTCTCCGTTTTAGACAATTCGATTTAAACGAAGTTAAAGTAGCAGACGATAAAACGCTGAAGATAAAAATTTACTCTTATTGGAAAAAAAAAAAAAAAAAAAAAAAAAAAAAAAAAAGATAAATTAAAAAAAAATATTAAAAAATTTATTTAAAAAATAGCTTTTCATATAGTATTAATAAATATATTACGCATCATTGAGGAAAAAATGTCATATAATTAATTCTCCGTAAATTTTACTTGAAATTTAAGGTTAAAAATAGCTGTGGCATACAGTTGTAACAAAAATCCATAGACCACATTTGGCGTTATTATTATCGCTCAAAAAAAAGATGCCAAATTTCAAAACGTGAAAATATGTAAATTGTTATATCTTAGAAAATTTTGAATAAAAAAAAGTCTAATTTTTTGCAGATATGCTTAAAAAATATACCTACTTTGAGATGATGGTAAAAATTTATAGGTTATAATTCAAAATTTTTTCGAAAAAAATTTATAAAAATTATTTAAAAATAGAAATTTAAAAAATAAACACAAAAAATGGGTAAATTTTATTTGGAATGAACCTAAATTTCGAAATGTGAGAGAAAAAAATCAAAACGTTTAATAAAAAAAGAGATATAAATCAATATTGCCAAATTCAATTAACATTGAGGAGCTAAAATTTTGAGAGCTATATTTTAAAAACTACTCGTACGATTTTTACAAAACTTGGTATTCTGGCATAATTTGAGTCGTAGAATCGAAATATGTAAAAAATTGGTATGTTATTTCAGAAAAAGTCCGATTTTGTGTCAAAATACCTATGTTAGAATAGTGCTATATATAAATCTAATATATATCCTAAGTCGCGCTTTCGAGACATGAAGAACGCAATTTGAATTTCGTGAATCCCCCCAGTAGATCGGGAGATATAGCACTGTCCCATTTTTTTTTTTTGAGCAGTGTACCGGAAAAATGGCTGAAGTGAACAACACTAAACGTTAAATTTAAAAACTGCGTAGAATTTTACTTTGCAGAACAACTTCATAAAAAAAAAAGTTATTACGTATAACAAAATTACAATGAAATAAGCAATATCCCTTAATACAAATATTAATTATCCTAATAAATAAATTAACCAACTTCCCTTTGCAAAATCTTAAGAACTCAAATGGTATAAAGGAGGTTAAAAACTTTGTTTTCTAAAAAAATCACTCAAAACTTTTCAATATCATAAAAACAGTGAAACGAGCAACAAATCACATAAAAGAATACAAAAACAAAAAATTCTGAAAAGCAAAGTATAGTTAATGATATTTTACCTTATATTTTCAAGAGAAAAAAATTACATTGAAATAAGCTATATCCCTTAATAATAAATATTAATTATCCTAACAAAAATATTAACCAACTTTCCGTTAATAAAACAAAAATCATGCAAAACTTCAATATCTTACAGACAGTGAAATAAGCAAAAAATAAAAAGAAAGAAACTCAAAAACAAAAATTCCACTCACAATTTACTCTGAAAAACAACTTTAAAAAAAAAAAAAAAAAAAAATTCAATAAAAATGTATTATATATATATAAAAAAATGACAATGAAATATGTCAGTCTCTTAAAAACAGTGATATAAGAAATACGATGTAAAATTGTTGCCAAACCCATATTTCTAAAAGAATGAAACTATTCAAAATGATGCGATTTCATCAAAAATCTATCAACAACAATAAGAAAAGGAAATTGTTGCCAAAATCACATTTTTAAAGATGTGAGATGTGAGAAGTATACTCGGAAGCTTCATTTAAAAAAATTTTTAAAAATGCAAAATATTAGCGTTTTTCCGAAATTTTTTTTGTAAA